GGATGTTAGCGGAAATCATTGGTTCCAAGCAGAATGTATCTGCCGATGCAACCTTCAAATTGTTCAGTCGTTTTTCTTCGGATTCCACACCATCATGCTCCATAATTTCCACGTCATTCTCCCTGCTCGCGCCTGCTTCTGCATTCTCATCAGTGACACTCTGTGCAGCTGTTACTGTTTTCCGTCTTGTTATTCGAGCATCTAGCCAACTCAGTTCTGCATCTTTCACCTGGAAGCCCAGTTAAGCAAACGATTAATTAAATATGCAGTAAAATATTACACGGAATACTACACAACAAAATGTTTTTACAATGATTAAACTGCTAGGCAATCAGTGCGAAAATTCGACATCAGTGTAGAGCGAGCAAAAAACGGCGCGCAGGAGAAGCAAGGAGCAATCTAGAATCGCGCAGCAGTTTGACCCGTGATCTGTCCCGCCTTTTGTGATGAGTATTTAAGCTTGTAAATTTGTTGTAAAATTAAGTGTATGTTCAGCGTTATCGTCGTGCGCTTTTCCCGTGTTATCGTCGTGTATCCCCCCCAGTGTTCCGCGTCGCCGTCCCGTGTCTTCAGTATTCCGGATCGTTGATATTCGGTGTGCCCCGTGTTTCGCGTCCAGCGGTCCATTGCAGCAGTGTCTCGCTGCATTCCAGTTATCAGCACTTTGTCCGCAGCGGCTGTCGCTGCAAGCGCCCGATCTAATCCCGTCGCCCCAACGAATCACTTGTAAGCTTGTATCAGTATTGATAAAGTTCGCTTTTTTACTCCAGTCTGTCCACTAAGCGCCTACAGCATATCAGCGTTCATCCAAATTTCAACCGAAGCTCGTCGTAACAGTATCGTCGTAACGTCGTCGTCGTAACATCAGTAATACTACTCGGATTAAACCACATTCATGCCTTTCAGTCCATGCGGCTGCAACTCCATTCCCAGCATCCACTGCTTGCTTGAGGCATGTTTCCTCGAAAGCTGTCCAAAAAAGCAGCTGTTTTCTCACTTACGTATAAAACAGCAAAATTCGTCTGGGATAATTCTCCTGCACCTTTTGGTGAAACCAAAATCTACTCTGAGATGAATTAAGCTCATTCCAATACACCCGCACTTTCTAGACTTCACACGCGGAAGGTTTTATGAAAGAAAATTGTTTTAAGAAAAAAAGGGTCTTACCGATTGGAAAATAAGTGCGGACATGAGGGAATCGCTAAGAGTCACTTGATAGATATGAGATTCAATCGTAGCATCCACTATTTCGCCCAGCCGTGGGGTGAATATTTTGCCCTGCAAAAGCAAGTTTCACTGTAATCACTTTCACTTCTAACATCCCAACAGCACCAAAAATATCTGCACAGTCAGTATGGGGATCCCGTGCCCATAATATTACTGGGATGCACACAGTTATCATAACAGCTGCTATGCGAAGCTCTCCTATTCAGAGATGCATATCTGATTCTTACATAATATCAATCATAATCGAGTTTTTTTAAATGTTTTCAAAACTGATTGCTTGTGTGGAAAACATAACAGAGGTATTAATCATGATATATATACATATGTATATAAAATATCTTTTATATATAAATATATTTTACGTGTATATATATATGTATGTATGTATGTATGTATGTATGTATGTATGTATGTATGTATGTATGTAT